TTAGATGCTCGATGCTGTTTTTTGGCAAACGTGACTAGTTTATTGATTCGATCGAACTAGTACGCCAAACATAAATTAATAATAATACGAGCAAAGACCAAGTAACAATTTGCTATACTCTGCGAAATGCTTTTAAGCAGCCCTCGAATCGAAAAACCCAACCAACTAAAAGTCAAACACTTGAGCTGACTCGCTTCCTGCCTCCTGCCTGCTGCCTGCTGCTACGTGTTGGCCATTTGACGTCGTCGTCGTCGAGGTCCTTCGAACCAGCGCCATATAAAATTCCAATCATACTTGACCAATAGCAAAACACTGGAGACTATGTAACCCTCCTGCCTTCGCCCCAAAAAAAAGTTAAGTGAAGTGCGGCGCTTAAGCCAAAGGCATTGAACGGGTGGCTGGTTATTTTCGGGGGAGGCACGGGCTTCGATTTTGGCTTTGAGACTCTTCTGCCCCTGGCAGCAGTCAGCAAAATTTTGTGCTACACTTTCGCCAATAGCTTGCCGTTGCTTAACGTTACATTTTATTGATACACTTGCTCAAAAGTGTTGCAGGCTCTGTTAAACAAACATGTTACATTAATATGTGCTAAGGCACACATAAAGTCAACATTTTAGTAAAGTGTAGAAAATACGTCTCTCTCTCTCTCTCTCTCTCTCTCTTAATTTTTCTATTATATGCTTTTTTTAAGAATCTCCTTTTTTTCATCCCCTTTCTCTCTCACACTCGCTTAACATTTACGAAGAGACAACGACAGTGAGAGACAGGCCGAAAAAGAATTATCTCTTAGTTAGTTGATCTATTTCTCTTCTCAATTCTTCGCTATATCTTGTTCTATCCCTCCTCATTTCCATGTCATTTTTTGCAGATTTCAATCCTTTACATCTTTTTTAATATCGGTCTCCCTTGATTTTATACTACGGATTTTGATTGTCATCACAATTTATTATTACTCTTGCTTATTACAGTGCAGAATTATGTTAAGTATGGTGTTAAGCAATAATGTTAAGAAGCAGCAGGTAGTCTGCTAGAAGCACTGTAGGAGACTTAAGGTGAACAGCTAATGAAATCCATATAAATTTAGAAAATAAACATAGAAAAAAAATTAAAATATTCTCTCGAAAAAGTTTTACCTAAAAAGTTAAGTTTAAATTTTGTTTGTTTGATTTGAAAATGCCGAGAATGCGTTTCAAAGAGTAGCTATGCATCGACATGTTTTTAGTTGTGCTTTTTTCCGGTTGCTTGTTGAAGTTTAGTCCAGAAACTTGACTGCCAAATGGCCCCGCACCGCATGGTTGCATTTATTCGTGTGCTGGGGCTTATTTCCAGTGCACAATTTTCGACAGATTTTGAAAATAGTTTTCGCTGCATAGGTAAAATGCAGCTCGGGACTTATTCTCGGCTCCCCAGACTTCGACTCAGCCTTCGCGTACAACACTTGCGGTTGGCCTTGGGGGGCGAATTTGGTGAAAATTCTTTTCACTTTTCAAACGGTAACCTTAAACACTTTGTGAAGAGCGCTGCGTCGTTGTGCAGGTTGTCACAGCTTAATCGATTTTGAAAAAAGTTTCATGTCGTTCTCCACCTTTCCATGCTATTTTATTTTTACGCCCCATTTGTTTGGAAGCGCTTTCGGAAAATTGCAAAGGAAAATCCGTTGTCGTTGTCGTTGGCGCTGGGTGTTGGTGCTGGTGTTGGTGTCGTTGCTGTTGTTGGGCACCGTGGCAGCAATGATAAACTTTCGACACATTTTTCATTTATTTTCAACACCTTTGATTGATATATTGAACACTTGGCGCACAACTTAAGCAACCTTCTTTGGCTCAAATGGTTCCTGCTTATTCGACGGAAGCTCGTCCCAGCTGGCGGCCATTGTGCGAGCATTTCCGCCGGATGTCAAGCATGAGCCATAGGGCCAGGCGGGGTGAGGCGGGGCGCGGGGTAGCGTGGCAAAAGCGGCAACAGATGATGTGCCTCCATGTCGAATGAGGCGACAAAGGTGACGGCTCTGCTGAGCAATGCCACTTGGAGTTGTGTAGAACTGAGCTGGCTTATTCTTTAAATTAAAAGGAGTCTTTCATTTCCCCTTATTATATAACATTGAAAGCAATACTTCAGAGATCGTAGTGGCAGTGAATAGTGGATTGAATATCGGATTCATAAGATATGCTTCTGATAAATAAAACTAATAATAGGATCTGTTTCTTAACTTTTCTTTTTCCGTTTGGTACAACCGCCAAGTAATATGAAAAGAATATAAATATATTGGTCTTTGTTGGAATTTTCCGCACTTTTACTAATTTACATCTCAAAATTCTGTAAATATATTACTTTAAAAGAAAGGAGCAAATCTTGACAAGAACTTGCGCATATCACAACCCATAAACAACTGTATTCTGCATTGTTGCTGTCACTGCTTCTGGTTCTGGACAAAGATCTGCATCTGGTATCTGCTACGATCCCATAACAAATATAAAATGCTTGCCATTCAAGGCAATTGCCCAACTAGTAACAAAAACACACAACAAACAAACAAACAACAAAAACAACAGCAATTGCTACCGGTAACAGGCAAAAGGGAAATAAGACAGTCAACTAAACAAAACGAAAAGATGTGCCAGGACACAGCCACGGCGAGAGCGAGGTCGAGGGCGAAGGCGAAGCCGAAGGCAGTCCAGGACGATGACGATGCGAAGGGGCAACTTTTCATAAACATTATTAACAATTATTGTTGTTAGCAGAAGTTGCCTGAATGGCTGGATGGTGTTGCTTGTCGCGTGCAGCCAACAAAGTCCTTTTGGGCTAACACTCACACACACAGACACACACACACACACACAATGCTGAGTGCAGGCGAAGTTATAAGCACGGCAAAAGTTGATAAGAATGAGCCATAGACGTCGTAAGGCAGCCACTTTTAGCAGCCAGCGAGTTCTTAACACGGCAGCTTTGTGCATTTTTTATAAACGAACGCGACTCAGACGATGAGCGCAGAGTTTGTTGCAAGTTCTCTTCTTCTTGAATACTGTCACTTGAGCTAATATGGGGTGTATTCTTAATATATAAGAGAGCGCGGGAAAAATGTGGAAAATTGAAGTCTATAATTAAAAATTTGGTGTAATAAATCAGGATCAAAATATAAATCTGTGATACGGTGGATTTCTACTAAGTCTAATAGGTCTGGTTTTGATTTTTGCTATGTCCACGATCAGGTTAAGCTTGGGTTAAGGCGAGAGGCGAAAGATCGCATATCCGCATATTGGAACCTTTTATAATGATAGATATTTTTGGAAAACTTGCTTTGGTAAGCCTGTATTGATCTAACTGACTAATTGACGCACTGACTGAGGGTTAACCGCACAATCTATGTAAAGTAAATGTACTCTTAAACTGTAAATAAGTGCAGGTATAAAAAAGTTGGGGAAACATTTGCGGGGCTCTTCTTTTTTGCTGCTAAGCAGACTACAACTAATGCGAAAACGGCGGCTACAGACGGTTTTGTTGTTGTCGTTGTTGTTTTTGTTGCTCGCTGCACATACTTCACATAGTCTTATAGAAGCTGCCGCTGTTGTAAAGTTCATAAACTTGCGACGGAAAACGCCCACAGGTTGGCCACGTTCAACGGCGGCTTTTGTAGCCATTGCTCATACGCCGCGTCGGACGCAGCGGAATGAGCAAGAGAAAGGATAGAGATAGAGATAGATATAGATTGAGCGAAACTTGGCGAGTGCGTTTTTTTTCCTTTTCAGCTGCGACTGGCGACTGAAACCGGCAACTGCGAGCCCAAGTTGAAAGCATTGCAGGAAAGTTTAATTGCGAAAGTTAAGGAATTTCAATTAACTAGGGATATTTGTTATTTTTATTTCGGCATCGCCAGTGACGTCGTCGTTCCCGCCTCTGGCCTGGCCTGCCTGACCTGCCTGGCTTGCTCGGCTGGCCCAAATTTTTTTCTTGTGTTGAGTCATGTGAGCTTTTGGCTGGCAAGTGGAGAAAAACCCTCGAGCCCCCGCTTAATATCCCATTAGCCAGCAGCCGCAGTTTATTAGCTGAAAGCGCTTAACTCATTCAACACAGAAGTGTAGCGATAAAAAGATGAGTTACTAGATTTGGCAAACCCTGCGCTTGGTATACACTAAGGCATTAAATCTAGAATCATTTACAGGGTATATACAAGTAGAGAGTTTGACAAATACAAATAATCAGTGTTTTTCAAATAACTTATATTTAGCCTTTAGCTTGTGTGATCCGTTAATCAAGTGCCAGTAGACAACAATGGAAAAGTGGTATTGCTGTGCGAATTAGTTAATCGCATTAGTTACGCTTAATTGAAACTACGAGCTTGCAGAATTGTAACAAATGGCTGGGCAATCGGTGTGCTCTTGAGGTCGCCTTGGCTACGATTTGTGGCAGCCATCATTCTCAATCAATCAATGGCAAATCACGCTGCACACGCTGTTGCCTGTGGCAAGGACACCTGTGCCTCTTGGCTGGCCTGGCCTTCTGTGTTGACAAGTCATGTAAGTCGTCTGTTGTTTAATTATTGTGCGCGTATCTGTTGGCTTACCAATAAAGCGTTAACCGCTAACAAGTTAAGTGCTTTTGAATGCCCGCTGAGCCTCGACCGCAGCCGCGGAGCTATAAGTCGAAGCGAGGGAATACGAGGGAGAGAGAGAGACAGGAGAGAAGTGAGTGACACGAGCTAACAGCGCGGACATATCCTTGATGAGTTGTTGACCAATGTCATTACATGAATGGCTGAGGATGCGGAGTGCTGAATGCTTCTCTTGACCTGAATCAGAATTGAGTGGTCTTTAAGTTGCAATAAATGTGTGTGTGTGTGTGTGTGTGAGTGTGTGTGCGGTTTGCTATGACATTGTAAAGTGATCGTCAATGGGAAACTTAATTGAGTTATTAAGTGCTTAAAGTGCAACTGAATCTGTTTGCATGTTCTGTGCTTATACGTAATACCAATAAACATTTATTGCATTGCGGTAGAGATCTCCTTGTTACTGCATGTATATATTTTTATTTAAAAACGAAAATCCCAATTTATAATATTTGCGTTTATTTCTTGGCAGCATCGGGTAGTAAGCCGACTTTTAGCTAAAGCTGCTCATCCGTCCGGCAAAGTAGACATTATCATTGTCTTTTATTAAAAATACAAATGGCCGATTTACTTCGAAACGTGACACAGCAGATTTATGATTCACATTGAACACTGTAAAAATGCAGAATTGGAATGAACAATAGATTTTAAAATAAATTAAGCTGAGACGCAAACCTTGAACAGCTGCAGCTGTAGTCCCATTTTCATCCACTTCAATTACCGATTTCTGTAGGATTTCGCTGACATATAAGTTTGGTTGGTCAGACATGAATGTAAAATTACCATTTTCGAAAATTTCGCGGATACCCAGACCCTTGACAATATCGTTGAATTTCTGCTTATAGTCAAACTTAAACTTTGGCAGGGCGAGTTCCATTGTCCTAAAGTTGCGTGGTATAATTTCCTCGAAGTCTAAATTATATAAGTTTTGTTCTATTTTGCCAATACCATTTACAGAATTTGGCAGAAGAATAAGCATGGAAACATTCGAAGTGGCGTACGGTAGCTCTAAGGCGTGTGCTTCTAATTTTTTGACGAACTTGTATTTATAGTTGTTTACCTGGGTCATTGTATAAACCTTTGATTTCCGCATTTTGCCATCGCCTCGAGGCGTAAAGAATACTTTCTTTTTCGTGTTTAGTTTTTCGAATTTCGTTTGCCATGTTCCTTTAAAGTAAATGGCACTGAGAAGCAATATTTTTGTCAAGGGATCAGTTGTCTCAATCAGTTCGGTTATCTTGTTGTTAGTTCTCTCGGCTATCCATTTGTTAACAATAGATACCGTTTCTGAGGCGTTTGCAAAGTCGACAGCTTCAATTTCAGAATTGAAGATATCCGCTGTGGTTTTTTTAAATGTAGTCAAAATGTTAATGTCACGTGCTGCGTAGATGCGACTTGCAATATCTAGTGTTACACTGTTAGGTTTACTGTTAAGAGTATGCCACTCTTTATACCTTTTGACTGCCTCGGATTTTCTGAGGCCAGTCAGTTGCAGAAATTTAGCGATTTCCTCAGATGCTTTACCCTCAGAGCCCAAATAGAGCTGCATAAGGCCATCGAACAGCAAGAAGGGCGAAACAATAACATTATCTTCTTTACTCTGCTGCAATACGTTTCCAATAAGAGTCGTGGTTACATTCTCCGCAAAACTAGATCCAAATACACTAAAAACGAGCAGCACAAACACTGGGAATTTACAATAGAACTTTGCCATTCTGGTAAAACTGCTCAGGCCGTTCCTTCTGTGGGTCTTTTATAAGGACCGAGAAGATAATCAATTTGACGTGCTTTGTTTTCCTCATGTTATGTCGTTAGTCTAATAAATTAGATAATCACCTGTCACGGGCCACGCCCGTTAGTAACGGATCTAAAGGTATAACTACCTATATAATTAACCGTTTTATTTGAATAAGTTCCACGCGATCATAAATATTCATTCATTCATACGGAAAAACTGGGATGAACTAAGAGTCTAAACAATACCTGGGCTCATAGATACGCCAAAGCCAGGCGCACGAACTAAAACTTTAATTTGATTTTTGTTGGCCGACAAGAATTTAATGAAATGAATTTCACAAATGGTTTGCGTTATTATCCAGATGTGATTTGACCAAACACAAATCACTAAAATTAGATACAATTTGCACACACACATCGATATCGATCAGTGGCAAACCAGAAATGAGTTTGATTGAAATGCCACAAAATAGCCTAAATAAGTTAATTAAATGCTTAGAGAGAAATACTTTGCTGTAGTTGAAAAATATTTGGTGCGTTTAACATTAGCTACGGACTTGCATAACAATAAAAGCCAAACATTTGGAATGTAATAAGGTGGATGCCATATCCTGGCAAAAACAATAATGAAAATAAATATAAAACAAATACTATTTCAATTCATTAGCCAATGTAATTACTGATGCATACTATTCCCACGCACGCTTATAATTAAATTAACGTGAAACAGACATGTTGTGGCCATAAAGAGAACCATGTAGCATTATAAAATGCAAATAATCAAAGTCATTGTGCAATTGAAATAATGCGAAACAAAGGCAGAATGGGAAACGCGTCATCTTACCGCGAGTTTAATTACATTCAAAAGCCTGGCGCGCTACAATGGGCGTATACGTAATAAACCTGGGGCAGAGACTGATAGTGACATAGTTCGTTCGTTTGTTTTCCATATAATTCAATAAGCTGCATAAAATGCGACGTGCCACAGAACTAATGAAGTCAAAGTGCGACACACACGGGAAGACACTTGGCAACGGAGCAAGGTGGCAGGCGGAGGGGCGAAGGTTGTCTGATTGGGCGGCTGTTGCATTTGTCACGTTTGTTTGCTTTGGTTTGTTTTTGATTTGTTTGGATTGTATTGCATGTCGAATAATTTGACTAATACTATTATCCCGGCAAAGCGTACTGGATACGAGCAGATAAATTGGATATGCAAATCTTTTTTAATAAGATTAGGTGAACAAATTTAAAAACTAAAATGAAAGTTTGTGAACAAGCGTTGTGTTCAGATATAATATAATGCCTTGAACTAGTCTGCTGCTGATAAAATAATGTGTTAAGGTACATATCTTAAAGCATTTCAATTCTTCCGATTTCGACATGCTCGCCTGTACATGGCCCAATCCACCCATTCTGATCGGAAATATTTATGAAGTCGATAATGTCACCATTAATGCGTTAGCGAAGTTTCTTTAATATGCTTTCTTACCTTTTAAAATTGCACATACTAACTAAATCAGTTGCTTACTGTCATCTTGACTGCGTGTAGCCGCAAATGCCAAGAGCAGGACAGCAAGGTCGCGAGAGCATCAGAGGGAGAGAGATAGACAGCTTAGATACTGCTAACATGCAATCACGTTGACAGACTCTTTTAAGTAGAAAATGTGCAGCTAAAGAAGAGCAAATAATCGCACAGGCAGTGCAAGTTTTAAGTAGCACACATACACACACACATACACACATGTACGTACACACCTGATAAGGACATACGCATTCGCTCGCACACACACATATTACTTGATCCGTGCTACTTAAGAAAAACTAAGTGAAGCATATAAGTAGCAACTAATTTTCGAGCTGATGTAACAGCAGCGAAGACGCTGCCAACGACAATAACGAGTAGGAAAAGTAGAAGTGAGAGAGAGAGAGAGAGAGACAGTGAGAGGAGCGGGCAGCGAGGATAGCGCAGAGTAGACTGCAGCAGCCATCAACAGCTGTCTCTTTGTCTCACTCTGTCCGTCAGTCTGTCCATGTGCACGTGTGCTGTGTGCATCTCTATTTCGCCGCGTTGCTTTACCACTGCTTCGTCTGTCTGTGTGTGTGTGTCTATGTGTTTCTGTGTGTGTATGCGTGCCGTCAGCTGTGCTTAATTTGAGCGCATTGCTCGCCAACGCGTAAAGGAAAGAAATAACAAAGCGCATTGCATACCTTTTGATACTTTATGCCCAAAGGGAGCTGGGGTCTCTTGGATTAGTGAACTAAATTGTCAATTTGTGTGGACATATTCATCTGCACTTCCATTGCTAGAGCTATAGACGAACGATCTCATTTAAAGATCAAGCGGAAAATATTTTGGACACGCAACTTATATGACTATTAACTTATATAACTAGTCATGTGCAGGGTATCTCACAGTCGGGCTCTCGCCTATATATTTTTGGAGAGAGGGCGCATCGTCAAAGTCAAAAGACAAACTGGAAAAGTAAAAGCTCTCTACACAGTTGAAGACACAGCCTGGCTGGCTAGCTGCGGTGGGCGTGCCTGAGCTTTGAGTGCGCCTCGCAAATGGCATACAAAAAGTTGCCTAAAACAATTTAAAATTACCTCACGTACGTGCGAAATTGCAAACGTATTGTGGGCGTGACAGTCCCGATGCAAGAGCCTCTCCTCAATCCTTCAGCTCTCAACAATAAATGGCAGCTTATAAGTCAAGTGAAAAGCAGAACAAACAGAAACTGAAGCCAAAACTGAAGGACTACAGCAATTTCGGGGCTGACTCTGACTTAGGCAGCCAGAGAAAAAATATAAAGATAAAAATAAAACTAGTAACTGATTGCAAAATGTTTCATTGTGCGAGAATGGGTGTGGCACATGAGAGTGGGCGTGCGTGGCTTTGGCGTCCTGTGGCATTTTAAGTACAATTTTATAGAGCAAAACTAAAGGCTGATACTCTCGGACGAGAGAGAGGGATAGCGAGAGAAAGCGTGTGTGGGTGTGTGTGTGTGGGTGGGAGATGCGCTCCGATGCTCTCTGATGACAGCGAATGAAGTGTTGTTGCCCGTTGTTTTTTGTTGTTGTTGTTATATGCATGTGCAACGAGGCAATTTTAGAGACAGGCGACAGAAGTAGTCAGTATTCTTTTTAAATATAAATAAAACAAATTAATTTTAATTTGGATGATTCCTAATTTAGGTTGAAATATGTTAACATTAATTGGGAGGAAAATCAAATAATATGCTGTAATAATAAAATAAAAACAACTGTAACTTATACCAAAACCATTTATAAACAAATTAAGATGAATCGATATGTATTCACATATTCACACATCTTTATCAACTTTTTACTACATAAAGTGGTTTTGAATTTTGCCCAAAAAAGTCTTCTAAAATAAACGAGAATAAATCTTTGTTTAGTTTCAAACAGTATTATTTATTATAAAGCAGCATCGACTTAGTAAACTGTAATACTTTGTCGCCTGCGCATATAAGAGTGTTTGAGTCACGGTAAGTTTATCTGCCAGTCGCTTACTGTGCGTTGTGTGTGTGCTGCTGGCTGGGTGCAGGAAATGCATTATCCACTTAAAAGTCAAGCAAAAAGGACTTCGTATTGTGAGTTGGGTTAGCAGCTACTTAACGCATTAGATACAAAGCTCAAGTGCAGACAATGCGAGCTATAGCCTGAGAGTGGGAGCGAAGCCGTCTGGAAATGGGGTCTACCCACCCTCTTATAGTTCATTAAACTCAGCTAATTTTCGACACCTTTTGGGCTCATAAAAAGCGATTGGCACGCACATTGGCCAGCTGCGGATGGAGATACATTGCATGCCAACTATAGATACAAAGCTGGAACAAATCTAAACACAATAACACTTCAACTCTAATGAGCCAACTTTAAGTGTGCTAAAGTTTTACCTGGGGGTGGGCAATACGCTGGCTCTGTATCGTGTGTGATTTGAGCCATAAAGATAAAACACACGCTGAATGCAGACAAAACGCCCACAGAGACACAAGTTTGTGGCTTAAGTTGGGGGGTTGATAAGAATTTGAGGATTTTATGTGGGGTAGAGAAGAGCATGGGTTTCGGATTGCCGGCAATCACTTTGGCAGTCACGTGCAGCTGCTTAGCATCCACCTCCAACCAAACAGCGGCCCGCGTCATTTGCCCCATTATCAATAGACGGCGCCGCTATATCAAACGGCTGCGGCAGAATTCTGGACTCCAATCTCAGTGATTGACATGCGGGTTGCAGGCATTCGAGCCATTCAAGCATTGTGAACGTGTTAGCCGCCAGACAAACCCCAACAAAGGGGTTTTTTTTTTTACTTTAATATGCGAAGTTTAAAGATTGGGTATATTGCGTTATTTGGCTGAGCAGATTAACGCAAAAGAGACCATACAAGAAATACACAAATAAAATATTTAGGATTGCATATTATAAATAATATTAGTATGGAGTGTAAAAAAATATTAGCTTTAAGTCGAAATACACTTTTATTTCTCTCTTTCTCCCACTCCCTCTCCTAATTTACGCTCTTCATGTATGGCTATATAAAATTATTAAAAGAGATGGCCTAGATTTTCTTAAACAACAACATTATGGCCATCTAAGACGCCGTCAGAAATGCTCATATTATTATGATAAAAATACTTGACTGGGCCATGGTCCAGTCTGTCTTTCTGTCTGGGATCCGCAAAATAAATATATTTGCTTGCAGAAATATTGTATTTCAATTGACAATTGAACAGTGCAACGGGCGAAAGCCAAAACGTAATCAAATCATATGAAAAGGCCAAATCGGAGACGAATTCCAAATCGACGAGGAGTCGATGCCATTGACAATGTTCACGTTGACGTTGACGTTGACGTTGACTTCAACGCCGACGTCGATTTGCAGTTTGAAAAAGCTATAAAAAGTCTTTGCATACTTTTAGGGCTGGCGGATTTGCGCAACTAATGCGCCTGTTGTTGTTTGTGGCTTGTCAATGGTT